AAACACTGCAGTAAACTTTTCATATTATGTGTGCACAGGACATTGAGATATAGACCAGAATTTGATATTCCTTATTTGTGTTTTAATAGGATTTAAATTATACTTGATATTTGAGTTGTATTTTTCTTTTTTTTTTTTTTTTTTTTTTTTTTTGACATTTGGAATACAGAGAACGTGATTTGTCAGTGCTGTAGGTGTTCATATTTTTCTGCTTTACTGTACTGGAATTTTGAAATTGTTAGCAAAATTTCCAGTTATGGTATGCTGATACAGCTATATCAAGCATTATACAGAAGAATATTGTGAATATTCATCTTTTCAGTTCATGGTCTCCACCCAGTGCCCGTAATCGCATAGAAGTGTACAAAAACCAGCCAAGGAAAATTGAGGAGTATGAACCAGGGTTCTCCTCTATCGCATTCAGACAGGCAAAAGTAGTAAGTAAAAGAGGCGGCAATTCTGCGTTAGTTCTCAGTCAGTTGATGGGCTAGATATGAGTGCATGAAGATTAGCTGTCTGTAGCTTTCTTCAGAATGTATCTGCTTGAAACTTGATCCCTTTCCAAAGCCAGAACTTGAATAGTGCTGTGTGCAATTTTGTTGCATTGCCATATGAATTTTGGAGGTAGCGCAGCATGAAATAATAATTGGAAAACTTATTTGAATATTATGTATTATTTGAAGCAATTGAAATCATGGAAAATTTGTGTCTGAAAAAAGAGGGCCCATAGTCTGTGATGCAAATTGGTTGTTTAAGAAAAGTTTGTTTTTTTTTATTTTTAGAGTCCATATTTTTTCAACCCTCCACCAGACCTGCCTGGACAGTTCAGTTCCTAGTGAGTTTTTAAGCTTTATAATTCAACATTACATATTTACACAATAAGCGTCTATAGCAAGTTCATGTTTCATCATTCATGTTTACTCCAGAAAATGAGACAAAGGAATATTTTTTGTCTATAAAGTTAACAAATCAATTTTGTTTACAAACAAATTGATTTCAAACTGTATTGGTTATTTGAAATCACCAAAAACTTTGCTTGACAGAGACTTAAATGCAGTTTTGGGTATTTCCTTGTCTAGCACTTTGCCAGCCAGGATAAAAATTCCTTCAGACTCTGATGGCCCAGTGTCTGCTCACAGTAGCTCCAGCTCTCCCACCTCAGAGTCCAAAGAGCTCTACAAACAAATACAGCAAGGAGGTGAAATACCACACTTTGGACTGAGAAAAACATTACCAGAAAAGACATCAGGTACCGTGTTTTAAGACATATCTTTGCATCTATATATCTTTATTTACAGCTCTTCTCAAATCCTAAAAAAGAAAAATGTTTCACAAAAAATTTCACATATATTTTGTTTGTTTGTTTGCATTAAATAAATAATGCCAGGATGTTCCTAATATTGGACCTGGAAAGCTTTTTACTTAGCACACATGTTCCTCTTCAATGCAGAATAAATCAAATGTCAGTTGCTAAAAAGTCAGAGGGGATTTTTTTTCTGTCTTGATATGGTGCATGGGCACACATTTTCAAATTCTTCAACATAGACATGTCAGTATAAAGGGGTTTTATTTTTAGGATTGTTTAATGATGCAACATTGTTTTTAAATAATGCTCATGGGTGGAATGGTGTCTACAAAAAACAGCCTGCCATAAATTACTAGCATGGAGTAGCGTGGGATATGATTCTGTTGCTGATAAATATTTGTGTAAAGAAGGCGAAATCAAATACAGTGAAAATATTTCAGCTACATGCAGTTACGTATATTTATGGGGATATATTTTGTATGGTGTCATGTGAATTATTTTCAAAATCTTTTGGGTTACCTAGTATTTTGAAAATGGATTTAAGTACATGTGTTTGATATGCATTGCTGAGAGTGTCAAATAGATGTATATATCTAGCATCCTTTTTCTTAATGACAGTAATGGTATTGAAAAGCACATCTCTTGTTTCTAGGAACCAAAACTTTGAAAAGTAGTAAATATCATGTTTGGCTAATAGCACATCACCCATATCAGTGACACATCCAGTTTGTTTGGCATCATTTTAATTTTGAAACACAATTTTCATAGTTTTGATTCCAGAAAATTAGCCTGATACATCCTTTACTGTGAGGAATCTGCAAATCTTTATTCTTTTCACTATGACTGATGCAAATTTGGTGTCCATTTTATTTATAATTAGTTTGGAATGGAAGACTTTCATGTTTTTAAAATTTTGCACACTGTTGTGCATGCTGTGGTTCATTGCTTGATTTTATATAAAAAAATAATAACACTTTCAAACCAGTATATTTTAGGTATTAATGGTCATTGTCTAGTCTGTTAAGATTCTTAATTTTGATATGGGATATTACAGTATTTTGCCGCTATTTCTATATTTGCATTTATCTTTATTTGAGATGACCCCAGCTGAGCCACTCAGCTGGTTGTTAAAGTTGTACATAGTTTGGCTGGTCATTTTTGGACATGGGTTTTCTATACAGGGATGCAGGGTTGATTGTTTATTGTAGTTCCAGAGCAGAAGAAGAAATCAGTTTAATTTGATTACAATTACATTTCAGATTTTCATTTTTTCATTGCAGCAATTTTCAAGAATCTTGCTGACTGGGACCCTTGCTTTTCAGTTCATACATGCATATATGCTACATATCTGTAACAACGCAAATAGCACAATCAAATCAGTTGACACATAAACATTGCACATTGTAAATACGTTCAACGATATCAGAACTAAGGGCAGAAAGCAAAAAGGGAATGTGTAAGTTTGTAAAATTATTTTGCATAAACATATCAGGCAGAAAGTAATATCAAGTTAACAAATAAGACAAATAAATACTAACATCAACGTGCACATGGCTTCAGAAGACTCCCCTCAAAGAAAAAGAATGAAAAAGTTCTGGTACAGAAAACCTGAGATCCCTGAACTGTGGGAAAAGGTTGTAGCTAGCTACTTTGACCACAATCCTGAATGTGATGTAGATATTTACCCTGGCCATGAAGGTGGGGATGACCAGTACCCTGTCCATGTTCATGCCAATGACCAGTTCCTTGTTTATGAAAGTGGTGATGGTCAGTACCCTGATCATGAAGGTGTTAATGAAAAGCACTCTGTCCATATTGGTTTCAGTGACCAGGATCCTAACCATGTGGGTGACCAATACATTAATCATGTAGGTGAGCAGTACCCTGTCCATGTTGGTCATCATGACCAGCATCCTATTCATGCAAGTGACCAATACCTTTTCCATGCAGGTGACCAATACATTGTTCATGCAGGTGACCAGTACCCAGTCAATGTTGGTGAAAGTGACCAGCATTCTGCCTATGCAGGTGACCAATTCTTTGTCCATGCAGGTGACCAACACCTTATCCATGCTGGTGATAATGACCTGCATCCAGTACATGCTAGTGATAGTGACCAGTGCCCTGTCCATATAGATGTCAGTGGCCAGTATCCTGTCCATATGGGTAGTAGTGGCCAGTTCCCTGTTCACGTAAATGGCAGTGACCATCCAATTGGTTTTGATCTCAGTCAAGCCAGTGGACAATCGGGGGGATACTCTAGGTTATACAGAGCAAACCATGATCATGCTGCACATTTAGATATTAGAGATCAAGGCTTGAACAACAGTAACAACAATCCAGATTTCCTCATAACTGGAAACTGTCAAGATGTTTATGTGAATAATTATGAAAGGAATTCAGCCCAAACAAAAGGAGATTCTGGTAATCGAATAACAAACACAAACCAGATTGCGTTGGATCATTTGAGTGAAATTGATCTGAGGCATCTTCCAGAAATTGATCGCTGTGTATCAACCAAAAATTATGTCCTTGGTCATCCAGTTGGGGACATGGCGGGCGACTCTGTGTCGCCACCTCCTACACCAGCTCAGTCATTTGACAACCTTTTCAATGAAGGTGACAACAGCCTTTCAGATGAAAAAATACTGGACATCTTTTGGGATAGTGAAGCTAAGTTAAGAGAGAGGCTGCCTTTTGCTTACTCGTATGTAGAAAAACCCACAAAAAGTGTAAAAGAGAAAATCCAGCAGTTACATCACGAGGATATTGAGTCTGTAGGAGACATTTTTGGTATGTCTCAGTCAGATATAAGCGATCATGGAGCAAAAGGAGAAATAGAATTGTCTGATTTAACAAGGGAATTGCGTCACACAAAAAGTGATAATAATATTAGTACTTTGGATGATTTTGATCAGAGAGATAGTTCAAAAATTCACTCTCAGTCCAGTAACTGCCAAAGTAACAATACTACAGAAAGGGTTGAACAAAAGAGCAAATCTAGAGTAAAGAAAGTAAGGGTCAGGAGACATGATTCTTTAGTTTGTTCAAGGTCTGAACCAGATATCTCAAAGCTTGGCAAAAAAACGCCTTTTCCCAACATATTTCCGCATTCTATTTTGAAAAACAGCAAACATCCCAAACCTAGCCAGCACCCTACTAGCACAAATGACAGCATCTTGTGTAAAGAAAATATGGCCTATAAATCAGATTCAGATGCGGCTTCCATCTGCCCACCTATAGAATCTTCTACCAACATTCCATATTTTGCCAAGAATGTGAAACTGGGCTCTCTCTCCAGTGGGCATGGCAGTAATGAATTACTTCATAGTAACATCCTAAATGCAGAAACCCAATTAGTGAATGATTCAGAACCAGAGGATAGTTCTTCACCAAGAACCCGCGATATAATTGGCACTGATGGTTTTCTATCACAAGTAAGTGGGGCTGATGTTGTAGAAAGGCCAAAGGTGTATGAACTTGGAACATCAATAAGAAGTCAGGATTCTGAATGTGAGGCTCATAAAAAATTGAGCTCAGATCATGTAAAACGAAAATACATTGCCAGAGCTTGTTTCAATGGTAACCCTGCTGCAAACAGTCAGTCGGACTGCAGTGAAAGGTCCTCGCGACTGGATCCCCACACCTACCAGTCATACGCAGCTGGTATTTTGAATTCATGCCGTCCGTCTGAGGACTTCCTGCAGCTACAGAAGCACTATTCTATCCTGGAGCGCATTGCAGAGATAGAGGGTCTCACAGTTCATAGCAACAATCTTTTAGGTAAAGGCTATCTGAATAGAGTGAGTCTACTGAAAAGGTTTGATTTAGATAGGGGAACCTTTGATTTAGATGACATCCTGCTGTCTAAATATAAAAGGGAGGTTCTCACAGAGTTAGAAGATATGCATATGGAATTACAGGAAGCCCAGGCCAAAAAAGCAGTTCTTTTTTTATGACAAGAAATTACCCAAACTTCAGTGGAGTCCGACAAGAGAGAAGTGTTTGAGAGAGAAGCAGAAATCATTAAGTGATCTCAGGTATATTTATCAGAACTCAGCAGGTAAGGATAATCTCAATACTCCCCTGCGTAGAGGGGCAATTTACAAAAGAACCATGCCAGATTTTAACAGGAATTCTTCATTTCTTGACCTGTATGCCAAATATAAAACACTTGGCGATGAAGCCAAGCAGAAAAATTTCACTGGATGTATTAAGGGTAGAAAAAGTTATGCTGCCCACTCCAAGGGCTCTCCTCGCTTAGGTCCATATATGGAGATACTAGAGAGGACTAGGAAAGCAAAGCATGGGCCAGTGCTGTATGGAACACACATAAATGATCAATTTAATCGGTACGAAATTTATGTGTCTAATTTAAAGAAGGTGTCCAGGTCATGCCCAGATTTAAAAGCAAAATTAAAGGGTAGCTGGTGCTCTGCAGCAGAAAGAGGTACAGGTACCTCAAAACAGTTCAATGCAAGTAGTGCATTGAGATCAAATGTTCCGTCTGTATTACAGCAAACCCCAGCAGCTCAGGTAAAAGCTGGAGAAAACATTTTAAAAAACAGGACTGACAGCTGTGTTCCAGTAAGGGTCAGGCTAGAGGAATCAGCATACAGGCAGCAAGCAAATGTATTTCCCAATGAAAATAGCTGCAGGAATCAAAAAAAATTCTTCTCAAGTGAATCTAGTTTTAAAAAGTGTAACTTATCTGATAGAAATCAGTCAGAATTTGATCAAAATATCCATGCACATTCGGAGTTTGAACACTTAGCAACAAGTAAAATCCCTGATGCTTTTCAAAATTTTGATGGGCAAATTGTACCAGTTCAAAAAGAAAGAGATACCCATTCACCATTAGAAAAGCCACAAATCTCTTGTCAGAAGGTTAAAGGTTGTTATGATGATAAAAGTCGAAGTCCATTTTTGACAAGCAAAAATACTGGTTGTTTACCAAAAACCTTTGAAGTGTTTAGAGATAATGATGACAGATCTGAGAATATGAGGAATAGAAATAGTGATGTATATTGTATGTCTCTAGGCTGCAAGCATCTCAGATGTCCAGCTGCCAGTGCTAATCACCTCACACTCTCACCTGGAAGCCTTAATCCTTCAACAAATGATAAATATACTACAGGAGCTGGGGAGGGCAGCTTTGAAAATTTCACAAGCAGAGATGTAGGAGGCCATTTTGTTAATAACCCTACTGGCAATGAACAATCAGTATGTGACAATCAGTTAAAGGTCGAACTTAGGAGAAATCATCTCCCTGAAAATGAAAGTGACTTAAACCCCAGTGAATGCAAACAATTAGCATTGCATACATTATATAAAGATGAATTAAGAAAAGGGGAACTGACTATTCTTGGGGCACATCTCAGTAGAAACCCAGTACCGGGAATAAGGCCCACTGACATTTACACACAGAGAAGCAGGCCATGCCATGTTGAAGAGAGGAACAGTTTTGATGGATCTGGTAAAGGAGAGGAGATAACCAACTTGGCAAGCTTAAAGTTCAAAGATTCACTGCCTTTGATAGACACACATAGAAATGCAGTTTCTTTGACAAGAGATATGGGGCAAAAATATGAAATCAGTTTGGTGGGTTCTAGCTATATAGGTAAAGGCAATGAAGGTAGGGCAGAGAGTGTAAACAATTTACACAGCGGGGCTCATGTTTCCAGTCCGAGCAGGTTGAGTTCAAGACAACTAGGTATCCTGGATAGCTCTACTCATATTAAACAGCTTGAATGCTCAGGTAGGAAAAATGCTGTGTTTGAAAAAGCTGTGCAGGAAGAAATTGTAAATAGAGGCTTACTTAAAAATAGGCAGCTTTCCCCAAGCCTTTTGGCTGAAGAGTCAAAGCCAGATAGGAATGTCTTGGGCAGTTCACAATTAGAGGGTAAGGACCAACAAGATTCAGTCAGTAAAGACAAGAGAAATGTTCCTTCGTCGCAGACTTCAGGTGTGGCAATTGGTAGCTCAATGCCCAACTTACTGGAGTACAGAAAGGCACTGTGGAGTCATTCTTTACTGCAGGCCTCATCTTCTCTGTCTGGAAATTTATGTAAGTCGAGTGAAAATTGTTTTGCAAAAAGTCCAGCAAGGTCCAGCAGCCATCCACCAAAAAGCTTTAGTTTTTCACAGCTCATGTTAGCCGATGATAACTTTGCTGTGAAGCAGGGCAGTGGTGAGAAGCAAGGAAATTTTCATGCTCCTTTACGATCCCAGCAGTATAGTTGTGAAAGTTTAGAAAATATTGTTGTCAAAAATGGTGAGGTTCTTGCCATAGCTACTACACCATTGGGTTTGTTTGGTCAAAGAAAAGAAGGGTACTCTAGCTCACCATCAAATCATGATTACAATTATGCTGAAAGAACCTCTCCATTTGGTAAGAATGTGATTCCAACAACATCGAGTCTCCTAGATAATGATTGCAAGAAAGTTGCACATGCAGACAAAAGTGCAAAAAGTGGTTTATGTGAGGTCCAGAAAACCCCCAGTCATACAGAGTCACTAGATGTAGATTTTCTAAAGAACACACAAAAGTCACAAGATAAAGATTTTTCAGATGGGCCATTAAAACATGCCTCTAATGAAAAATACCCTGGCTCATGTGTGAGTGAAATTGTTGGTACTGGTGCTGCCACCTGTCTTGACCCTGTCCACAAGATGGAAGATGCCAACACTGCCACTGACAAAAAACTACAATCTGTTGTCAGGGGAACTGTTAGCAGAGGGTTAAAACATCACCCAATGAATGGGGCCGTCTCCTCCCTTTCAGTTGACCACCTGAATGACTCTAGGGGATCTGGGGTTCAGAAGGAGTCAGTAGTTTTAAAGAAGGCTTCTTCAGTTGATCTGGGCACAGCAAAAACCAGAACTGTTGATTTCATGCCTAAAACTGTGAACAAATTGTACGAGTTTGAGACAAACAAACAGGGTGGAAAGAGTGGGGAAAGGGTCAATCCAATAGTCGCATCAGTAAGGGCTCACAGAACTCAGTGCCGACTGGTCCCTGATTCCTCAGTGTGCCACAACTCGGCCCAGAAACCACCTCCCTATCAAGACCTCATTGGTAGAAATAAAGGGGGGAGGGGCAATGGTCAAAACAAAACACCAGATGACACATTAGGTGTTAGTGATGCACTTCATGCAAACATTAACCAACATGAACAAGGCAATCCAAATACATTTACAGTGCTCAACAAATACATACATGATATAAAGCAAGGTGTGTCCCCATGGAAAGGAGAAAAAGGTTAATTATCTGTAACATTATTATATTTAAGTGGGTCTTGAGATGCCAGTTTATATACATATATACATACACATTTATCTATTTATTGAATTGGTGGTTGTGGTTAAGTTTCTACAGTTATTCTTGTCAAGGTAGTCTTAATATTATTAATTGTATAGTTTCATTAGGTTTTTCTGTGCTTTGAACATCTTATATGAATATATACTTGCGTAGCATATGAGAATGACATCTTTAACTTATAGCTGATCCTCATCTTGGTTTTCTGGTAAGATTTGATTATTTCAAAGGGTGGCTGGGTTAATTTACTTTTCAGAGCTATAGATTTTAATTTGCATTATTGTCACCATAGTACAAGTTAGAATATGACAAGAAAGTTATCATAATTACACAAATTTCATTCACCCATCTTTTTGAAAATATAGGAAAAGGTTTTTTTTTTTTGTAAATCAAAAAAGTTTGTGCACCCTTGTATGGAAACTTTGGCCTGGCAATGATATTTATATTATGAATACTTTTGATATGATAATTCAGCTGTAGGCCAAAGCTGTTTATAAACTGTTTTAAGAAATTCATCAAAATGTCATTATTTTTATTTTGAAGGGTATGTAATGTTGTCATAATATATTTATTTCTTATGAAGAAGAATGGGGTTTATGCTTAGAACTTGCATTATATGCATGTATTTGAATTTGGCTATGTACATTATAGTGTCTTTCTGTCCAATATATGTATTACATAATGTGACATTAAAATTCTAAACTTTTCCAAAAGAAAAGGGACAATCATTACAATTAAAGATCTTTTATTTTATCTGTCCCTAACTTTCCTTTTGCTTATTTACTAACTGGGGAACTTGAATTTATTTATCTGTGATGTGTCACAACAAACCATCTCTACTTGACCTGGTATCCAGGAATAGTTGCTTGGATATATTTTTCTGATCATGCATTGCTCCTCCTTCTGTCATATATGAGGTGCTGGTGAAATTGTTCAGTTTCCTAGATATTTTGTCATATAAATAATATACCAATATGCTTGAAGTATTAAAGTTATTATAATGAATATGAACAATGTAATGAATGTCAGTCTGTCACATATTAGGTGCTGGCGAAATAGTTCAGTTTCCTAGATATTTTGTCAGTTAAATCATAGCCCAGTATGTTTGAAGGATTAAAGTTATTATACATGGTAAATTTTTCAAAAACAGTGTTAAGAACTTCGTTGTTATTAAAAAACGACTTTCCAACGCTGTTAGTGTATGAGAATACATATGTGATGACGTACCACTGCCTTCTAGATGCAGAGTCTCCCCACAATAAACCGTCACCTGAGTCTTCACCCCCAGCACCTGCACAGCGCAGTCCGCACGGCTCCTGGGACAGACGGAGAAGGGATGAGGCTGACGAAAGACGGAGAATTCGTGTAGTATGTAATCTCTCTCTCTCTCTCTTTCTCTCTCTCTCTCATTTAAGCTAAAAAGTAGGTAAAAATGACAGAATATGTTACTGATGTATTGCATCATATTGTCATAATTTGAGAGAGTAGTTTTTGACATGATTAAACTTGTCATTTTAATTGTTTTGTAGCAACAAATAACTGAGGAAGAAAAAAAGAAGAAAGCCATTCAAGAACAGCTAGACGCTCAAGCTCGAAGGCATTCAGATTATTTTACGTAAGAATACAATTGTCAGGATGTCTCTAGATGTCTTTACTTTAAATGCAGGTTTGGTACATCTTGTATCTGAAAAAAGCATTGTAGTTTTGTAATTCCACTTTATTTAAGAAAAGGAACCAGTGATCAATATGAAGAAATAGCCAGTAAGAACAAGGTCATTTTGTGTTAATATCTTCAGATAGCAAGACCAAACCTAATAAGTTTTATATTCAGACTGGGATTTATATATATATGAACCTTATAAAATGAAACATATATAAGATTTTCAGTGCCTGACTTTCATGATTGAAAAGATTCATAATAATTTTGCATTTTATCGTCTATGTATTATAAAAATAGTCATATTTTCTTGATAGGCCTGCACAGAAATCTCCCATCCCTACTGATCGTTTTGACAAATACCAAGGAAAGAACATGAAAAAGAAGCCAGAAATTCATGGGAAGGCTAGAGCCTTGTATAATTTCAGTGCTCAAAGTCCAAGGTTAGTGTGATTTGTGCTGACATTTATATCTACAAATGTAGGCCATTTCCAGTTAGATGACTATAGCTAGATGTTGACTTCTTTTGTTTACTGAAGAGTTTGCTCTCCAGCATTCTTTTGTTTACTGGAGAGAAAACTCTTCGATAAACAAAAGAAATCAGCATCTAGTCATCTAGCAGCAAAAGGCCTAATAGGCCTATACCCTATTTTCATTTCATGTAAAATATTTATCATATTTCCTATAATTTTTATAATATTTTTCTGTCAAAACTGAATGAGTGCTTTATAAGATGCAGCAACTTAGTATGTGATCATGAATAGCCATAACTATTTATGCTTACAGGGAACTCTCCTTTAGAAAAGGAGACATCATTTTGCTGATCAAGAAGGTGGACAAGAATTGGTTTGAAGGAGAACATCATGGAAAAACTGGTCTCTTCCCTGTTAATTATGTTGAGGTAAATCAGTTTTATTAAACCTTCGCAGAAAGATCGTGAATGCTCAGCTGAAATAGGAAACCCATTCTACTACTACCACTGCTACTTGTATAGAGAAATGGAATGTTTTAGAATATTTTTACATCTCATTTCTTCTGAATTAAATTGTAAGGGTATTATTATTCCAAGTGATCACATCTCTAGTTTTATTAAACCTTCACAGAATGCTCAGCTGAAATAGGAAACTCATTCTACTACTACTAATATAGAGTAATGGATTATTCCAGAATATTTTGGCACTGCATCATTTCCTATAGGTGTGAATTCTAATGTAAGGGTTTTGTTTTCCCAGGTGATCACCTCTGTAGAGGCTGCCCATCTCCAGGACCTAGTTTCAGAGGGACAAGCTGTGGCCAAGTTCAATTTTACTGCCCAAACCAAAGTGGAGATGTCTGTGAAGAAGGTAATTTGCTTATACTAGTAACTATTACAAGTAGATGTCTGTTTGATAATTTTTAAGTACCCATTTTGGAAGATGTTTTGAGTCAGAGAAATTTACTAATTTACTTCTTTGTAATAATTTTACAACAGTATTAACATTAAATGATTAGTACTGTTACTACAGGATATTTTTCAACAACACTTTTTAATGCTTGATTTAAAATTTTCACTTTGTTTGTTTATTTCTAGGGTGAGGTTGTGGTGCTAATCCGTCGTGTAGATGAGAACTGGTACGAAGCAAAGATAGGCAGCCGACATGGCATTGTCCCTGTCAGCTACCTGGAGGTAGTGAGGGAGCCAACGAAAAGAGCATTCTCTCCAATTTCAGGTATCAATAATTTTAATCAATAGTTGTAAATATTTACATTCTGTTGATGCATGATCCCTGGATTTTAGCTATTTAAATTCTAGGTAACATTTTATCCTTTTAATTTAAGTTTTGTGTTAGAGTTTGAAACAACTGCTTAATTATAAGTCTCTAAATTCAGCAACTTATGTGATGGTAAATTACTTAGATTCAACACTGTGCTATAGCGGTTTAATATTTTCTGTTCAGATACTTTGAAAACTGCACTGATATTCACCAACTGTTTTCTTCCAGTGTCTTCCAGTCATCCGATGTCGCCAGTCAATTACAATGGTCCTTTGAGCCCCACCCCCGGTGCCCCCGCCCGCCCCCAGCAGCCAGTGTCCTGGTCACCAACACAACGCAGTGCCAGTCCTTCATCACAAACCAGGACACAGTACAGTCCACAGTCGTCACCCAGGACCATACATGCTAGATCAATAGTAACCAAGCAGAGCAGTCCACCCCATGACCAGCATCCAGGAAGCGCCTATTCCACACAGACCTGGTCACCTACATATCGTAGCGCAAGTCCTAGGGATTACACTGATGCAGGAGGGCGACCAGCACAGAATAGAGTGGCTCCCCCTTCAGGCCACAGTGGCAGCCAGCCTCAAAGTTTTTCTACACAGACGTGGACAGGGGGGAGCCCCTCCCTTGTGAGAGCTACAGATGTCCACAGAGGGGCACCAGATGTTGGCTATACACAGGAAATTAGGGCACCAAGTCCTACCACATTCAGTTCAATAACTATGTCCACCTCTGTGAAGGATAAAGATAAGAAAAAGAAGCATATAATTGTGCAACCAGCACCAATCAGTGAGCATCAAACAAGTGTCAACCTTCAGCAGACTGTAATACCTCAACAGATTCCAGTATTCAAATGTGAAGGAGAGGATGAATTCTTACCGTAAGTCACAAAAAGTAAAAACAGCTCATTGACATCAGTTATTATTATTTTAGATAGTGGACAAGCCTGGTTAAAACATTCTTTACATTCCTTCATTGTCCAATATCAATATACAAATGGAAATTACAGGCATATATCCTAACTTAATTTGCTTTTTAACTTACTGGTGGTTCAGGATAACAATATAAATTATAAGAAAAATAGTATTATTTGGGAATTGATGGTTGCCATACCTGATAAATCTAAAATTACTAATGGCTATAGCTACACTTTTGGATCTCTTTGTCACTGCTTAATGGGCTACAGGACTGGAAATTGTTTATTTTCTCATTTTATTGGCAAATATGCATGGTTGCACATTCCCTTAATTCTCCCTTTGAAATAATGAATTAAATAATTATTTCCTTGATTTTATATATATGTATATATTTTTTTTCTCTCTCTCTCTTTTCATCACTGTGGAGGTCAAGGAAACAGCCAGCCTGAAGATAATATTAAAATGAAGACTCTTTGTTCAGATTTTTTTGGTGTCTCAAATTATCATTGTTATTATTCATTGTCTCATTATTTTGTCAGCCATGTTGTTCTGGTCTTTTCAAAAACATTACCAATTTTCAGGTATCAGGCAGTGTATCCATACCATCCTCAGAATGAAGATGAACTGGAGTTGAAGGAAAAAGACATAGTTTATGTGATGGAGAAATGTGATGATGGTTGGTTTGTTGGTACGTGTGTACGCACCGGACAGTTTGGTACTTTTCCGGGAAACTATGTGGAACCCGTATGTAAGTATTTCATTTCTTTCAGTCATCCCATATGATGCTTTTTCAGTTAAACGAGCACTGCTACGGTTGCTGACATTTTGTCATTGTCTTATTTTTTAAAATGTCTTATTTTTTAAAAAAGTGTAAACAGAGTAGTTTGGAAGACTTGTATATGATTAAATAAATTATTATACCTATGAAGGCATAAGAATCAGCATTGGGGGATTCTTCTTAACAAATGATAACACTTTCATTTCAAGATCTGTGGGCTATTGTTTGATTTCACCCATGACTACAGTAAATGTATGGGTATTGATAGTGCATACACTTCAAACAGCAACTATCTCCTCAGACCTAGAATAGTTTGAACTTGTTCATAATTTCCCACTGCTTCTCTGTTGCTTCAGATGCTACTGTCTATAGAGCCCCTGGCTCACTTGAGATTCAGCTTGCCCCAAATTAGTCCCTCGGTATGAAAGGGCAGGTGAGGTGCTTTTCCAGTCCTGGCGCTGTACCCAGCGTGGGAATGCATGGCGTGTCCGGTGGTGTTTGCATGAAGCCCCCGTTTTCTCCAACGATATGGTGTCCTCACTGTGCCCAGTGTTGGATGTTTGATATCATGTTTTTTTTTTTGTGTTTATGTTCATTAGTTTGGTACGTTTTTTTTATGTGACAGTAAGCCAGTACTGCAAGTTCTACTGGTATGTACATTTAAGAGGATTGTTGTTTGCACTTTTTGCATGGATTGTAAAACAACTAGCATGATGATTCTTGTACAAGACAGCTGCTGTTTTCACCAGTATAATAGTCTATTGGTTTGAGGGTTTACACCTTTGTAAGATTCATGTCAAAATATGTAATAACAGACCAAGAAAAAGAGACCTTCTTTAGAAATAAATAACTGCCAAATATTTCTTCAAATTTAAACGCAGTTTTTTTGCTCAAACATGACAAGTGTCATTTTTCAGTATTAGGTTATCAGTGAGTTATAGTCAGAGTTATCCATTCTGTAGGGGGGGGGGGGGGGTCATAACAAACTGTTTTCTTCCATTCATTCCTTTAATAGGATATCTGTATTATATCAGGTGTGTGAGTGTGTGTGTGGTATGATTATTGAAATAATTTTTAGTTTTTAATTTGTTTTACCATTGCAATTTTTCATATCCCTTGCATTCAACCCTTGCCATTTTTCTCCCTTGGTCATGTAATAGAAGTTCCTGTAGTCTCATATTTAAGAATGTAATGACTTCTTCAACCAGATTAGGCTGCATTGTTGTTTTTCATGCATTTTGATGGTGTGCCTTAGTTTAAGTTAAATGAACATCATTTTACAGACTGCTTCCAATGGGTACTTTAAATGTTTGCTTCATTTTTAAATGGGCTATTATAAGTTGATATATGTTTGAAGATTTTAATTTGAATCTTTGCTACTTTCACATTTTCATATATACCAGTAGATTTATTCATGTACAGGATAAAGTTATGTTTTTTGCATATCTCTATATGTTCATGGAAATTGTAAGTATTTTGTTTCTGTTTCAGGAGTATAACAAGAGACATGGTGCACTTAAGTGATACATCAAGCAAGTACATTTCTGTAAAAGAAGACGTAGCAACATCGATGTAGATTTATATGATAATTGTCTTATCAGGATGAGACATATTGGTAAAGTTATACCTAGGATGATGGTTATTATAACTTAAAGGAAAAAATGACAGTTGCAGATTGTGAAGAAGTTCATAAATTGAATATTGAGAGAAAAATGAAGGCAAAATATATGATAGTGGTTAATTTATCGATGGTACTGTTTATTAGCACTTGTTCAGATTCAGTTATAGTTACTGTATGCCATATATGTAGCAGTTTAAGTAATCAGCAGTTAATGTGTAAGGGGAATGTTTTATTAATTTACAGTATCATTAATACATATTTTATTACTGGATATTTTTTTTTACCGAATTCAAACATGACTTGGGGGGTGGGGGATTTGAGTGTCAGTCAATTTAATGTCATTATTCTTAGTATGATAATGCAATGGAAGAAAAGAAAGTGAATACTAAATGTGAATAACTGACATGATTTTAAAACTTTTATTTAAGTTATTGGCGTGTTCAGTATTTAATCCTGCTAGGTATCACTTTTTTTACAAGATGAAAACTAAACAAATTGTATCATCCAAACATCTGAACACTGTCTTAATACTACAAAACAAGTAAGTACACCAGTCTTTTTTTTTTCTTTCATGAATGTCAGGTATTTTTCAGATGTTCTTTGAATGTCAAAAGGAACAAAATCATTGTAGTTAGTTTTTAAGTATAGCTCAAGGGGTAATATAATTTATGTATATTCATGTGGTAAAGCTATGACCTGGTTCTTTGCCTTGCTGCAAACTTTTACTGTAATCATGTATCATTTTTTTCACACATTCATGTACACATCACTTTACTGCATGCTCACATACTCACATTCTAACATACTGGAGTTATTTATGGGCCAATTTGCCACATCAGTATTTCATCTTTTTAAACTGTATCTGACCAAGCTGTGTCACTAAAATTATGTATGATTTCCCACCAGCTGTATGGAACTAGATCTACAAACAGGTGAAGACTGCTCTAGCATAATGTTTAAGCCAAATGACAATTTTTTAACCAAATTAATTGTAAATTGGTTAAAAATATACAGATAGGAAAAATTAGGTGGAGCAATTTATGTAGAACTGTTGACATAGATAATCTGCTATTATGTGTCTAGAATGCATGTTACACATTACAAGTATTAATTTATTTGAGACAAAATCACAAGGCCATGTCCACACATGCACGATGTTGTTTTTCATATTCACTCTTAGACTTGTGTATTTGACACATTTTGTATCCAAAACAAAAAATAAGCTTTATAAAAATATGAATCCACAACAATTAAAGGCTACGAAAAATATAGTGATTAAGGGGATACATTTTATACTAAGTGACTTAGTTTGGCAGAAAAATGGAATATTTTATTTTTCTTTTGTTATTTGCTTGTTGTCTTGTGTGAGGCACTGATGATGTAAACCAATAAAACTGTCTTTCATATATATATATGTTGTTAGTGTTGAATAATCAATCTGAATAGTTGTCCAGTGTGATGTGGATTATCTTCTGCACAGTGCCAATTTCTTCAGGTTCTACCCATTACATTGCCAGAAATTGATGGAGAAATCTAAGTGTGACGGTTGTCAACTGTAATGCAAAAATTACTTAATATGACAAAGCAAGATTGTAGATAAGTAGATAATGTGGTATATCCCCTTTTACATGTTATGTTATCTTACTTATTAATTTATGGTAGCTCAGTGGTTACATGCATAATGTTATTTATACGTGTATTTTCACCAGCCTCTGCTGGCAATAGCAGTCGCCATGCAGTCTATTCATTGGTTCTTTCAAATGCTTTAACCTCAACTGGTAGAATGTTACCAAATTAATGCATTCTCTAACATTCTTATTTATTCTTGATAATCTTCTGTAAACAGGTACGTAACAATCTAGCTCCTATAGTAAGGCAAGGTACATAGACTACTATTTGTTTTAAGCTAGGAGAAGGAAATGTTCCACAATCTGAATTAGACAATTTTACATATGTAATTATGAACCAGTCCTGCTGTCTACTTAATTTCATATATTTATGTATTTTATTTTTAAAACATTTATTGAGCTGTCTTAATTTACAAATACTTTCTTCAGCTTGCCATGACATTAGTGAAGTTGAAACTTTCATCACCAAGAGGATTGTTGTGTGGCTTCATTTACTTTGTTGTTTTTTTTTTTTTAGCAAAATAAATTATAACATTACATGTCAAATGGATTTTTGTATCATGTTATGAACTCTTAGAAAAAAATCAGTCTACAAATGTTAAAGAAGTTGAAGATCGGGTTATCTGATACAAAAAGTAACTTGATAAACCATTCGATCCCAAGTCACCTCCAATAATTTGAATTCACTGAAGTGGGGCTAAATTTCGTAACTGTCATGGAAGTGACATGAAGATGTAGACAATGAAATATCATGACAATATGTGTAACAGGACAACTGACAGATACAGAAGTACATGTTTATGCCATCAATATGAAAAATGTATAATGATTAATCATGGATTAATTAATTACAATAAGGAATAATGACACTGACACACGATGGTCATCAAATAGCATCATGGCAAAGAACTTGACCTTAAAATTGCACACCTGTGGTTCAGAGTCAGCCTGGTTTACACTCCAGTTAAAGACTATGTCTAATGTATAGCACCAAGTTAATATTTTTTTCTAGAGTCCTTCACATAACCAAATGACTTCACCTGAGATACGTGGTCTGTCAGCAATGATGTTTTAATAAGTACTAGTATAATTAATATCGTACAACTTCATTGGAAAAGTACTCTTTAACTACCTGGCACACTTTTCTGATAAAAATTGAGACACACTGTTATTTTTGTTAAAGACTTCCAAGTTTTGAACATGATTAGAAGAGTGCTATCATGACATAATGGCAAAATTGCAATACTGATCAAACATTAATTTCTCACTTTGTGAGAAAAGTTTTTGGTTATTTTCATTAACAATAGGTGCAAAATTTGCACCTTTTAAAAAACACAAAAATGCTTTTTTTTCCAAAGCAGTTAACATTCCTGCATGCAGCCATTTAGGCCAAGCACACCAGATTAGTCACATTTAGATAATATTGCGTATTACTACTATAATGAACTCACCTATATATTGCAAAAACTACAAACCAGATAATATCTGAGTACCTGCTAAAAGGAGGTTTACATACATCTGATCATTATATTTCATTTAATATATCATTTAATCCATTTTTTTAAAGGAGTTATCTAATTAAAATAATGCTAAATCCACAAAATAATACATATTTAAGAAATATACTTTCTAGCACAGTGTGCTGCACTAAAACAAAACTTAGCTGTAGGATGCACTTATGAAAATGATAAAAATTTATTTAGTTTGGTCAAACCATCTATGATATATATATATATATTTCTCAATACCCTGTACTGTCTTACCAAGATATTTCACACCTATTAGGCAAATCATAATTGGCATTCATTTCCACATATGCAGAGTAAAATTAAGTCCTGGTTATGTATTAGTCTTAATATCAATATAATCTTTATACAAGATTACTGTTACATGTAGGTCTAATTTACAATCACACCAGATAAAAAACAAGGTCCAGACAGTGCTAAAGGTGCACTGTGTAGAATTTTCCAAAACAAAATCTCCTGGGGTAAATGGTGTTTTTCTCTGACTAACCAACCTTGATCCTTGTTTTCAGACACTGGTCACAACTCAGTAACAAACTCGGATAATTGAATTAATCCATGCTTAAGCGATGGTTTTTCAAATTCCGCCATAACTGTAAGCTCAATTTTTGTACTTATTTCTGGAATCTGCACAATATAAAACTGTGTCAGGATGAATAGCAGGCATTATGTTTTTCAGGTGGTAAATTTTATGTTTCTTTTCTTTTGCAATATAAGTTCATGGCATTTACCTGTTAAAAATTATCAAAAAGTAATACTTGTCTTCAGATAAGTTCAACAAGAAGTTGATTATATACTTAATGTTTGTTTAAAATTCTAAGCTTATTCACTCTAAACTGATACACATCAGGAATGAATAATTCTTCCAAAATGAAAAGGAGACAAAAAATAGAATGCCCATTAATAGGACACAATTAAAAAAACAAAGAGGTATTATCAAATGGGTTTAAATGCAAAAAAGAAAGACAAATGTTGGGATCGTTAAAAAAATGCAATATTTGACTAAGTGTTTAAAATTTTTTTTCCCTTTTTGGAACATATCTTGTCAAAATATTTAAAATGTGCAAATTGAGACAACTCAAATATAGGTGTGTTACAGCTCTATGGGCTCATAGGCATTTGGTCTGTACTGAGTTGCTTGGTGAGCATCTTGGCCCGGGCTGGTATGCCCGACTGCGAAGACTTCCTCTCCAGCTCAGGAAGATGTTCCAGAATACCTTGTTCTTCTATCTTGGCTCTTATTGGTTCTAAAATATGGCAACATAAAAGTATAACCTCAGATTAACTGGAAAAATTTATAGAGGTTGTGTTTTTTTTTTAATTGATATGATGCTGGACACTGAAAAATTACTTTAAATCTTCCTCACAAATTCATCAACTTCTCTCATACTTGAAACCCTATAGACACAAACATTTAAAGCCAATTTTACTGTTACACATTCCTTTCAACTTTTGAATTCTAAAAAGTTTTATCTTTTTTGAGAAGTATTTCTTCTTAGGATTAAATCCATTATTTCTAAAAACAAGGTAACCAACTAGCAAAAGACAACACATTCGGCAATAACAACAGTCAGCTATTCGCTAACTGGCTAACCAATGGTTAGACAAAACCGTTCACAGTGAAGAATTTAAGTGGAATAAATGCTTAGAAATGCATATATACTCACTGTTTTTTTTATGCCTTGGGGAAAATTCAATTAAGGCAGTTTGAAATGACATAAAATCTAAAAGAATACTCTGTTGTCATGTCTGAGCAAAACAACTAAAACAAAGATCTTGGATCAAAAAATGAGGGGTTGAATAATGCAGCTTCAATCCTACCAGATGTTCCCAATTTCCCCAGCAAGGTACACGCATTGTGAATGATCTCCATTTTAGTATCACCAGTAGTCAATATCTGGCCTAGGTTGGTGATAAGGTCAGAGGCCAGGAGCTGTTCCTCGGCAGGCCCTACAATAACAGAATCAAAATAACGCGGTCTCAATACACATCATGTAAGCATCATGGGATTTTTTTCATAAATAAATCATGTTTTTGTATCTATATACCCATGAACTAGAATTTCCAATTAAAAAATCAATAAAGAAAGAAGTGAAGATTTGCTTTGAGTTTATTCAGCCAGTATGATTCAAATATGAAAAATACTGTTGGATATGGAGATGAGAATTTTAACTGAAGTGCTAACAGAAAGACTTCCCTGTACTAACCTATGATAAGTGCTGAAATTAGTGTCAGTGCAACCAATGCCTCCATCTGCATGACTGTATGCTCTGACACAATCATCTGCACCAAGTATGGAAGTCCACCACATTCCAACACAGTAGAAGCTACCTCCGTCCTACGGGAATTCTTTATCATCCAGGCTAACATACGACTGGCTTCTCCTAAAATGAGAAAAAATAAATAAAGCAAATAAATATTATAAGTTTTCATGGTGTTCTTCTCTATTTGGATAATTATGTAACAGGGAGATCTATTTCTAATTACATGACAAAAAATTTTTTTTTCACCTCATAATTCTTCATATAGATTTAGTCATCTGCATCAAAACACTGTTGATTTTTTTTTTAAGTTCATTTATGGAAGAAAAAACACCTTCAAAATCATATACTCCCAAAGTGCACATACCCTTTATCTGAAGCCACATGGTTACATACTAAATAAAAGACAGNCTTTATTACACAATACACGATAACAAGTTTGCCAACATTTTTAAATAATCAACTAACAATGTTGTAAAGATGAAAAAACAGCATAACTTCTAAAATAATGGCCTGATTATGCTGATTTTCGAACTCAACCTGCGTTTTAGTAAGATTGACCACTCCTGTGAGTTTAATGACAATTGGCCTATCTGTTTTTCTTATATTGTGTTTACAGTGTTGCATATATGCTGAAAAATGAAAAAACAGCATAACTACTAAAATGGTGGCCCGATCATGCCGATTTTCGAACTTGTCCTGCGTTTCAGTAAGATTGATTACTCCTGTGAGTTTCATGACAACAGGCCTAACGGTTTTCCTTAAAACGTGTTTACAGGGTTGTATATATGCTGAAAAGTGAAAAAACAGCATAACTTCTACTATAATGGCCCGATCATGCTGATTTTCGAACTTGACCTGCGTTTTATGAATATTCATCAGCTCTGTAAATATAAAAGCAAAAAATAAAACTGTGTTCCACTTATCGTGTTTACAAGGAAAGTGCACGGCATCGGCATTGGCATCGGCATCGCCATCGGCAACGACGGCGACGACAGACGCAGGTGATGGCAATATGTACAGACACATCTGTGTCTGTACATAATAAAAAAATTAAAGATAATATGTCTAAATAAAAAAATTAAAGATAACAGAAAAACTAATGTCAGAAAAAAGTTCATTGGATTATATCATTCAGTAACTTTTAGAATATGTGTTCGTGTGTTTGTTTGTAGCAAGCATATATATTTTGAAATATATATTTACATTAAGAAATTTTTCTGATGTGAATTTTACTACATTTTAGAAATCTTTTCTGGAACATATTTGCATTTATGTTGATGACAATCTAATAACTTAAAACTTTAGTTCCCCATCCAACCACATGCATATAGTGCGCCACCTACCACTTCTCGCAAAGTTCCCTATGGCCAAAGCAGCTGTAGTTTGGAGGACAATATTACCCGTCTTCAACCAAGAGAGCGTTTCCTTATAAATCTCTCCCTCCCCATCATTGTACAATATCTCTACACTCTCATCTGTAAATGGAAGTATAATATTTTTTTTTAAATTTAACACACTGGTATTTTTAACAATTCAATTTCATTGACACATTTGTCAGCTGAAACGAAATGTTTCAATCCATACACAAGTACAGCTATTATTACTTCACAACTCACCTCCAGTAAGGATCAATATAAGCAAGTCTGCTGCCAGTTTGAGTAACTGCTGACTTTTGTCATCCCTCAGTTTACATTTTTCCTTTAGGATAGTTGTGCAATGTTTGGCCGCTTTTGTGGCAGCCAGTTCTTTTTTAACAGCATCTAGAAAAATAATTTCACAAATACATATATATTAATACTGCAGTACATGTTACATAAATAACAATTTTTTTTACCAAAGCAGCACTTTCTGTTTAAATCAGTATTGTAATCATAGTGATTTGTTTACCTGACTCGGCCATTGTGGCTAGTGCATCTAGCACAGTTTCCTTCTGTTCCTGACTACTATCAATATCCAACAGCTCAGTCAGCGAGGAAACCAGGGGTATCTTCTCAAGAAGCTCTTTACCTTTGTCTATTAAATAACACATGGATTGTGGATGGAATGAAAAGTTACTAGTAAACTTTAAGCAAAAAAAGAATGCAAAGAAATATAGACTGGAAATTGATCAAGCTAATACAATATTTCTAATTTTTCAAAGCACAGTGAGGTGTAAAAAAAATTAAATGTTTACTTTCAGATCCAAGTGCTTTTAAAACACAATCTGGTTGGGAAAAATAAAGAAATGATACAGGGATGGGCGATCAAGACACAATACCTGTGTCTGCCAAGCAGTCCACACACAAAAGGGCCATTTGTATAACATCTTTCTCATCCTGGAAACTCTTGATGTACTGGTTAAGAAGCTCAAGGGCTCCACTCTCTAGTGCCAATAGCTGCAAGCTTTCTGAAATGTTGAGAAAACCACATTAGACATGAATCATACATTGTTGTAAAGGATAATAAATATATCTGAACAACATTCTATAATATAGTTACGTATTAGTTTTTACCATAACATGAGACTCTTTATCATATGACAATTATATCTTTCTTTATGTGCACAGATAGCAGATCACATGGCCATTAATTTTTTTCCAATTTTTGTTCTTACTTCTTGTTTTTTATCTGTGTGCAAACAACAGCCTACTTTAGCATGACCAAGACAAATTTGATGTCCCTTTTACATGCAAGTTCAATGACCGTAATATCTACTACAAATGGTCAGTGACATCCATACAAGCAACAACAACAACAAAAACCTTTCTTTGTTTCAAACACTGTGCAAATAAGTAGTAGTTATAGTTTTAACCACCTATGGAGCTATGAAATAAATGGGCAAAAATGTGCTGGTAAAATTTTAAGTGACATGTATCAATGATTATTTAAATTTTGATTTCTTTAAAGAGGGGATTATTTGCTAAAAACACAGCAAAAAAATTACCACAATGGCTCTCTGGATTCCAAATATCTGATTACTTTTTTTTTCAAATGGTCTGAAAGGTATCCATTTTCAAGTAATAAATCATTACAAAAACCTTGGCAATGGCACAGACAGGTGTCTGGCATAAAAAGAAACAGTCATGTCTATAAATAAGGAGGTCAATCCCCACTCCATATCATGGCCCCACTCTGCTAAACTATGTAGTTCAGCTTATCTCTGGTGAGAGAGAGAGTAAATATTATACGTATATATTCACAGCAAATATTGTAAGGTGAGATATTTTCTAGCCTAGGTCATACAATTAAGTGTATCAATATGGCTGTATGATTTGGTACAAATGTTAAATTTTCCCATATAAAAAAGGCTTAATTCTTGGTAAAATTATAATGACCATGTAATAAAATCACACAAAATCCATCAGAAGTTCAGGTACAAAGCACCATCATCACTGGTCAAGACACTTAGTCACAGTATTATAATAATAATTTATTATAAAATAATAAATAGACAATAATTTATTATAATAAAATAATAAATAGACAATAATTTTTCTTATGCTAGCAGTTGTTATTAATTTAAGTCATTTTTCAATTTTCATGTCACCAACTGATTTTAATCTTACCATTTGCATTGGTCAGATTAACTAGGCAGCCACAAAGAATCATCCTCAATTCACTTTCTTGCTCTCCTGTTGTGCTCAGGTGATATTTCATAAACTCCAGAAGCTTTGCCAGACCCCCTGCTTCCTTCATAGCATCTCTCCCAGTGTCTAAATAAAAACATTAAATCACTTATAATATTTTAAGTAGGCCATACCTTTCTAAATTATAAGGAGATAAAAACATGCTGACTCCAAAATGCCTAAACAAAATTGTGTCATTCAGAATAACCTAACAAATGCAATGATGCTATTTTTCCCTAAATCTAAAACCATTTTAAAATCTTTGGGAAAGGAACTTATCCTAAATCAATCATCTTTCATTGCAAACTGTGAAAGTTTTATTCACAGAAATTAGTGTACATTATAATACACATGACATTGTGTGTGTGTGTGTGTGTGTGTGTGTGTGTGTGTGTGTGTGTGTGTGCACGCATGCGTGTGCATGTCTGTACATGCAGTTGCCTATGTCCATGAATGCATACCATTGTCAAAACAAATGTTGCCCAGTGCCCTGCAAGACTGAATACAGGCAGCAACATTCTCCTTCTCTAGCAGCTGCAACAAAGGTGAAATCAAGCCTGCCTCTACACAGGGGGTCCGCATACTCTCTGAAATACATATAACACATAACATGCACCTACAAGAATGTGCAAATATTGACTACAAATGAACGTGCAAGCCATTTTAAGATTAAATCATCCAGAGGTATTGCAGCAATTTCACAGCACTGAGCTACATGTATCTGTTTGAGCCTGCCAGTGAGAAATCAATAAATTAATCAATTTCCAAGGCCGACAGACAGTTGTATAATCATCTGGGTGATTGCCCATGTTATGGCAAATGGATTGCTCAATGCATTTTGAAGCACTGCATGAAATCAGACAATTTTCTTTTCAGTTTTAAAGCAGCATATGAATTCCACAATGGGTAATATGCCTGTTGCCTGACTTCCTCCCATCAGTCTAACATTCAGATCTGACATGTTTACACTATAATATATATGCAGAGGACCAAAAATGAAACATCATTGCACAAAAGGTGCAGCACAGTGTCTCAAATTAAAGTTTATCAGATATAATATTTATTTATTTGTTTGTTTAGAGAGTACAAATTTATCTTGTGCCTCTGCATGCTCACATAATCACTTTCATTGAATGTGTGTGAGTGTGTATGTGTGTGTGTGCACACGCACGTGCACGTGCATAACAAATAAAATTATTTGTCTGATTTGTCTATTGTCTGATTGAGCATATCACCTTCTTTAGCCACCTCCGCCACCACCTGGGCTGCCTTGATCTTACTGTTCTTAGTATCTTGTGTTAAAACATGATGCAATTCAGAAAGGAGGCCTGACTGGAGAAGCTCCTTAAACACTTTTTCTGCATCATCTTCTTCTGTAAAGAATACATTAAACTGATTTTTTTAGTGGATAAATAGCTAAGACATAGTGAATCAAAATTTTAACAACTATTGACCAACTTGCTTGTGAACAATACTTTGCCAAAGGAAGAGAAATGGAAAATTGCCATTGATCCATACGAAAAAACAAAACAAACAAACAAAAAACATATTAATCAAATTGTATGAAAGCAATCTGAACTTATTATAAAGTAAATTTTACACAACTGATAATTCATACCCTTTCCTCTCAAAATATTTTCCTTATAAAAATAAAGAAATTGATAACCGTTATAGGATCTAAACATGACAGTGAACTTTCAAAATGTTAAAAAGTTGTTCTTGGTTGAATTCCTTTCATTAAAATTATAAGTTAACCCTTACAACCACCACATTATAATTTTCACTGGATTGAATATGCTTGAAAAAATTGTTACATACATGTCTCATTACTTAGAATAAAATCAAGCAAGATTCTTCTGGGATTTGGAGGAGATCAGGGTGAGAAATAATGGCCGACCAGCAACTTTGCTGTAGCAACAAATTAATAAAAGCAGGCAATTTTACACATTTTTTGTTTGTTCTTCTCTAAAGTTTTGTGGAATTAGTCTCTAGCAAAACATAACAATTTACCATATTTTGTGTGTACTGCTTTTTACAATGACATTCCCCACACAAAGTATATCACCTTACCACTTTACACTTTTCACACTAACTGAGTATTACTTTGCATGATGCCACATGGTGCCAAAGTCTCATTTCAGAGTATCTTGGATGACTTCCATTCCTTCTTTGTTTTTTCTTTCTTTCTTTCTTTCTTTCTTTCTTTCTATTTATCTATCTATCTATATCTATTAGTGTCTTTCATTTATCTATTAAACTTTAATTTTTTACAGACAAACATCAGGTTTACTCACCCTCATTGGATAACAGATCTAAAAGTTTATCCAGGTTGGTTTCACTGGTGCTTTCTTCATGCAGCTTCAATTTGTCAAGGGTACTCAAAAGCTCCTCTAAAATTGTGTCAGAAATTGAATATACTTGCATCATAATGGGAGAACTGTAAATTTTCATAAAGGACAACTTAAAACTTCAAAACAAAAGTGCTTTTTTTAAAGCACTTCGTCAAAAATACATTATTTTGAACACATGACAAAATTTAAATCTGCAAGCATAATTACCATCGGAATTTATCCATGAGAAATTTGATCCAATATTTCAAATTATTGTTTCAATAGTTCTGTCATGTCACATATAACACTTAAGAAACACACACACACATACACACACACACACAACAAGAAACATACATACACACATATATCTTATGGCTATATCCATAAGATTTCTAAATACTTATCCAATAAACTTTTCTATTGTGTGTGAGGTACATGTTATGTATTTCAGTGATGATCTTTACTAAGTCAAATTCCACTACGAACCACTGGATTTATGACAAGTGGTGATATCAGTTCACTGATAGGGCAAGGGAGAAAGAAAGGGACATTTTCTATATATTTCATAATGTACCAGCATCTTAAACAGGCTGGTAACACAATATCTTAAAGGCAGCAGGGTAGCTTGATATCCAAACTCAGTGGACATCCCACCTCCTTTCAAACAGCATTCACAATACCTGCTCCTTTGTTTGCTTACCACGATTTATTCAACATGTACCACACCAACAGAATTTTGTACTTCTGCAGTACCCCCAACCCTTACCCTATCAGTCATTGATTTTGATGTTTTTATAGAAGAACACTGCTATTCAGGCCTATGGGTTTGGGAGAATACTGCGCAACAATACCCAGAATTTGGTATCGCCAAAAATCAATCTCATCATGATAACTCAGTTTATAATCAAGAAAGATGAGAGCGCTTAAAGAGAGATAAGCACATCAGTAACGTAAAAGATTTCCAGTTTTAATTTACTACCAAAATTACTAGCCTTTTGTTTGTATTCGACTGAAGTATGTTTTAGTGTAAGCTAAACTCTGACCAACAAATGGATAGCATGTAGAGCTATCCATTTCACTTAACAGATGGGTCGCAGTGACCTATTCAAGGATGTCCACTTTAGCTTGTCTGTCATTGAATGGGATCAAGTGACATGATGATTCACACCCAATAACAAAGACCCTATTAGTTTACTTTGAAGTGAACCATTCAAGGCTGTCCATTTTTGAGTACAATATAATAAATACAAGACAGCTTCACAAATTCAGTGAGTAGGGATTGTTACATGTAGGAATAGTAACAAGAAGTATAAAGTGCAGTGGGTTTGGAGTCAGTAAGCAGCTAGAGTTGCATACAGTGTACAGAGTAGGGTATATTGACACCAGTGTCTCATCAGAGACAGAATAGATGTACATGTACTAGCAGATGCAACTTGTATGGTTGGTGTTCTAAAAATAAAGCAAGAAAACTGATTTTGTGTTGTGTGATTCTTAAATTTAGAAAACTTCAGACTGGTGGCAGTAATTATTGAACATAAAAATCCCTTAAGAAGTTAAATGTAAAACTCCAGGAGCAGAACTTGACAACTTGAAGTGATGCAATGAAAACAATTTGGTTCTGAATGCTGGAAAATGAAAGAGTTGGTGGTTGACTACAGGAAGAACAAATATATGTATATATATATATATATATATATATATATATATATATATATATATATATATATATATATTTATATATATATATATTAATTGAAGGAGCAGAGGTAAAAATGGCTGAGGAGTACCTTTTTTTGGGGGGGGCTTATATGAACAGCAAATAAAATAGCACTCAAATTATGAAGAAATAAATCAGTAAAGAAGAGACAAAAATTTCTTTCTTGAAAAAAAAAACAAANTAATAATAAAGTGCAGTGGGTTTGGAGTCAGTAAGCAGCTACATGTAGAGTTGCATACAGTGTACAGAGTAGGGTATATTGACACCAGTGTCTCATCAGAGACAGAATAGATGTACATGTACTAGCAGATGCAACTTGTATGGTTGGTGTTCTAAAAAATAAAGCAAGAAAACTGATTTTGTGTTGTGATTCTTAAATTTAGAAAACTTCAGACTGGTGGCAATAATTATTGAACATAAAAATCCCTTAAGAAGTTAAATGTAAAACTCCAGGAGCAGAACTTGACAACTTGAAGTGATGCAATGAAAACAAATTGGTTCTGAATGCTGGAAAATGAAAGAGTTGGTGGTTGACTACAGGAAGAACAAAAAAAAAACAAACAAAAAAAAAACACACCAATATTAATTGAAGGTGCAAAGGTTAAAATGGCTGAGGAGTACCTTTTTTTTTTGGGGGGGGGGGCTTATATGAACAGCAAATAAAATAGCACTCAAATTATGAAAAAATAAATCACTAAAGAAGAGACAAGAATTTCTTTCTTGAAAAAAAAAACAAAACAGATGAGGGTTTTATAGTAACACACATTTTCAGTAGTCATCTCTTACAAAGCTTTAATACATAGATGTTGTTTTAATGTAGGTGAATAATTAAATTAATTGTACAGGATACAAAATAACATGATCTCGTGGTGTTACTGAGAAGCATAGGGTACTGGTACTGGTAAAGCGAAAGTGGATAGCACTTATCATGTAATCCTGGTAAATTACCTCCTATCCTGCACTCAACTCCCCTCTTCAACAAGTCGCTCAAACGCATTGCAATAATTTGTTAACAAGATCAGGAAGATCTCCAAATATCAGTATCATAATATGACAAAAACAACCATAACATATGATCAAGATCGCACAGTACATGTACATAACAATCGACTGCAAACGTGAACCCGTCAATATCTTCTAGAATATGATGACATATGTCCTGCCAGTCCCTGTGTCGTAAGTTATATGCTGCATAGTTCTATTGCATACACATGTTAAGTATTACACACTTACCCATTATCCTATACCTGGGCACTGATAGCAGAATCGCGGTATTTGGAAATAAACGGAAGCACGGTGTAGTTGAATTGCAAACCCGCAGCTAAGTTGAATGAATAATCTTATTGGCTACAAAACTTCATTAAAATGTCAGGATCAAAACAACCCAAAACATTGCTTAAATAGAGTTTAAGAATATATTCAATATATTTTAGTGTTTATTTCTTCTAAAAACTTATATCAATCACACAAAAGCTGGGTAAACACTGTTTGTGAGCCAGTTCTTGAGGGTGGCGTTCAGAATGAGTTAAGTCGCAAAAGCTACTGCGCACCAACTCCACCTGGACTCTCGCCAGCCCTGTCTTTAACAGCCGCCTCCTGGCGTTGAGTGGAATACAGTGAAGCTAGTGATCAAAGGAGTATTTGCTGTTCAAAACAAGAGGAGGCGTGTTCATCTGTCAATCTGATTGCGTTCAGTGAGAGTCAGCTGGGAGAGTCCCCTTGGAGTTAGTGCGCAGAAGACCATCGGTTGGACCATAGAATGGTTGGACGTACAATCTGAATGCTTTTGGTGTGCGGCAGATGTAGTCATGCTGTAGTTGTTTTTCAGATCGATGAACCGCACAACACACAATCAACTAATATAAAAATATAATGTTCCTAGGACTCAGAAGCGCATAGGCCTATCTATCCATATTAGAATGAAAATCGGGATTTATAAATAACGGTTAGGCCTAAATAAACTTCCGACTGTTTGAATATGATGTTTATCATTCAGAATTGCATGCGTGTCATATGCTGCTATCACATAGGCCTACTTGTAGCTAAGCTTGATCCTCTAAAGGTTGCAATTAATGTTTTAAATTTGATCTCTGGCTAAAATCTCATATTTTCAAAAGACGTGTGAATATTAATGTAGGGCCTAACAAGTATAGGGGGCCTACTCCCCAAGCAAAAAGTGTCACCCCCGAATGCAAGTGTTACAGGAAATCATGTCATAAACCAACATGTTATTTTTATTCAACTTCTAAAAGAATTTTTTCAAAAAATTTTACTGATTGATCACCCAGTGAATAAGCTAACCAGAGCAAAACAATCGAATCTACATTTTAGTATTTTGTACAATATCCTCTAAATTGGACGAAGCACCTGAGGCATGTGTGCAGACGTAAAAAAGTTCTGTTAGAGGATTGATGGCGTCCCACATACGCAGAACGGTGAAAATATAGTAGGCCTATGAGATCATTTTTGTTTGCAGGGTTATACCTTCAGTTATCCATTTCCGATAATATCACACACATTCTCAATAAGGCTCTGATCTAGGATTGAGATGACCATAGGACCAGATGACCATTGGGGGGGGGGGGGGGGGGTCTGGATCTGGTTCGCATATAGGCCTAACCAGCGTACTGTTGCATTGGCTGTAGGCCTACGTGGAGAAGCATGATCATGCAGGAACACAAATGGGTGGTTATGGTCCCCAAAGATATTCTCGGCATAATTCCACAAGTTTCTTTTCAGTACTTGGATGTATTGCTCTGCGTTAAGGTTCCCGTTGACCATTGCCAGTTCACCTACACCATAGTAGCCAATACGCTGCGTACCATGACTGAGCGGTACGTGGGTGGGTCTTGTCTACCAGAGGCGGATAATTGGGAAGTTTTTTCTTACCAGCTTGTCGTGTCCGACATAGATATCTTATGATGTAACACACGTAGGAACTGCAAGTCTTCAAAATGG